CCCCCACATCCTCGCCCCCTCAAGGTAGTGCAATTCTTTCCCTCCTGGGTCGTATACCAACCTACGGTGAGTCAGGAATGAATAGTGAAAGTGGTGAACTCAAGCATCAAGGCACCTCCTTGGCGTACCCGCCTCCTGCTATCCATTATGGTGGTGAACCCCAGCATCGAGGCACTCCCTCAATGTACCTGGCTCTCACTTTAAACAATGGTAACAGTTAATCACCTCCTGACAACCCAGTATATCTGTACCTGGGTCAAAGTCCAAAGGGGGATGATACACTTTGGTAATTAGCATAATACAGCAGAACATTACATCCACTGAGGTGGGCTGAATGGGAAAAGTACATTAAAAAAAGTCAGTTATCTCAGACCCTAATAATAACGACCCTAAGTGAGACCCTTTGAGCTCTCCTAGGTCACAGCAGGCTGTGTGCAGCATGTCTCCTGACCTCTCAGGTAAAGAAAGTACAGGGCAAAGTCTGACTTCTCAAGGTTCAGTTATCGCCCACTGAGGAATGCTGATTTGAGTATTTACTCAAAACTCGAGAAGGTATAGGGAACTTTTTAACTATAGATTAATCTCCTCTATCTATCTATACAGAGAAAGAAGAGAGAACTTTTAACTATGGGCTAGTTTCCCTACTTATGTATTTTCACTGGATCCAAGTATTTCCGCAGTGTTTGTTTGTCTGCTTGCGTGTTTTGTGTTTATACATATATATTCAGGATAGCTTGTAATACATTAGTGTGAAACTTGTCATTCTCAAATCTGTAATTAAGTCGCTATTTTAATCATACCATATTCTACTGGATCACCTGATTAATCATTAAGCTGGTTACTGACTGTTACTAAAACTTAGCCTTTGATTTACCCCACACCATTAATAAATCTTAAATTGTTGCTAAATGGTAAGATATTTCATCCATGACAAATTGGTGTAGTCGGCAGGATATTAACGCAGCATCCGCAACACCTTGGTTTTAAAGGGAAAATAGAAGTCCACCGATGGAGTGGTAAGACAATGTAGTGAAAGGTGTTAAAGAAAATGCCTCAGTCTTCAATACTTTAGATATTAGTCTTCATGAGTGAAGTCTGCTCCTTGCATTTAACAGCAAAGCTTGGGAAGAAAAGGAGCAGCCAACAGTGTAGGAGCAAGAGGTTAAGGAGTTGTTAGGGAGAAGAGTGGATACAGTCTATTTTGAATTCAGCAAGGCATTTGATTCAGGACTCAGACAGCTTTCTCATTTGGAAGATAAGGAAGCCAAGGCTGCATAAACAGACTACTACTTGAGCTGAAAACTGGCTGAACCACTGGACTCACAAGTGTAGTGATCAGTGACTTGATGGTTGGGTGGCTGCTGGTGATCAGTGAACTATGTCAGGGAGACTGATACTGGGGCTGATATTGTTGAATATCTCTGTTGGTGACCTGGATCATGACACAGAGAGCATCATGAGCACATTGCCAGATGAAAAATAGAGAATGGATGACATAATGAATGAATGAATAGATCAGTCTATAGCTCTCCTGGGAAGAAAGGCTGAAGGACTTATTTATTCTGGTGGAGAGGAGGTTACGAAACATCCCATTACCTGTCCGCAAACATTTCAAGAACAATTACAAAAGATGAAGAACTGCAACAGATCTCTTTCCAGCAACAAGAAAAATTCTGTTTAAGTATTAGGAGAAATGTATGGAATCTCCATCCTCAGGGATACTCAAAACTTGAAAAAGACTAGACAAAGCCTTGAGCAACTTAATTTTAATTAGCCCTGCATAAAGCAAAGAGCTGAACTGGATCACCTCCAGGGTTCCTACACTACTCTGCATGAGCTCGCCCAATATTAGATGACAGGGGATTCACATGGGCAAGTGATCACACAAATATGCTGCCATCCGAGAAACTCTGAATGGAGACCACAGCCAGCCACAAGACAGAAATCTGTAGGAAATTAGGCTGAGATAATCTGATCAACTGGGAATGGAAAATAATTTTAAAAATAAACAAATGACTGGCTGAAAGATTCATTATTCTGAGTAACCATTTCTAGATTTTAAAATCACTCAATGTGTGACCGAGAACACAAGATGAAGTGCAGAAAACCTTCATCATTTTGATCTTCTACTTTGACGTGTAATATAAGAATTTTACAGGGTCATGCCATTGCTACAATATTTTGCGTGCCCTAAAAAAAAACCAGGGCAGTTAGAACTGGACAGGAATCTGGTTCAGGAACTTCAAGTCATGCTGTTAGTGACTTCTTGCAGTTATATTTTACAATACTCTCATGTCATATCTGGAATCTCTCGGAGAACCTAGTGTGAGTCCAAGTTTCTGTATACCAAACAGATGCATTCATATTTCCAATAAAAGCTACTAGATTAAATAAAGAAGTTGAAACAACCTTCCCCTGTCTTTGTCAGGCTAGATAAAAAGCATCGGGCTGCAACCAAACCCTTCACCCACCTATCTTTTTGGCACTGAAAACGAGGTCATAGCACAGGGACACCAGACTCCATAAGGCTGTTAATTTGGCACAGAGAAACACAAGCAGAGCAATATGGGATGGTGTGAGTTACAAAGACTCCTATTTTCAGCGCTGACTATCTCAATGTACTACTCATGTCTTCAGGCCGAGAATCATTCTTTTGTAAGTCTGTTTGTTAACATTGAGTTTATTAACATATATTTTTCTGTGCTCTGTTCCCAGTCTATCCAAGACTTCTACTCCTCCTTTTGTCACTATATTTGTTGTATTCTCCATGTTCCAATTTATCATTCTACTCACCACTCTTCCTTCCTGCTGTTTTGCATTTCCCATTCCATTATTCCTTTGAACTTAGTTTCTCCTATCTATCTCTGAACCCAGCTTAACAATTTTATTTAATCCACTCCTTATCAAATATCAAAATAAAAAATCACACAGGAAATACATTTAATTATATGGGCAAACAAAGATGACATTTACAATCTGCAATCACTTCTACAGAGCGTTCTTTTCTTCTTACCTTCCTTATGTAGCTAGTCTCTGACTATGTGTTTTTACAGCACCAACCATGTCACATCCAAAGTGGAACACCATACACAAAGCCATACCACAAATTAATAACAATTAGTAATACTGCTGAATGAACATGAATTTTCTAACCAAGTCTAATAGTCAAGAGTCAGAATGTCTCATCAAACAATACATTTTATAATAAAATATTAACATAGGTATCCAGTTGTAGACATACACATTCAAAATTGGGGAATTAGGCAGTCTGGCTTTAGAGCTTTATCAAGAAGAATTTGATTTACTATGTGCAACAGAAGTAGACTAACATTTCAAAAAGGAACCCAGTCAGAATATTTGCAATACGAGCCATTTAAAAAATGTGTACAGGTATGAGAAGTCCAATTTTCAGGACTATAAACATAAGCTGATGCAGAATTTTTAACATCTATCTGAGATCATAATGGTACCAGGAAAAGAAGTGCTGCAGTGTACAGTAATGTCTAATGAAAATTCATTCTGTCCTCAGAAAAGCCCTACAAATGTTCTCTCACAAACAAGAAGTTCATTTCCCTGACATGTCACAAAGATGGTATTTAATGATATTTGAATATTGCATTTCTAGCAAACGTGTATGTTCCATATTGGCAACAAAATTGTGCCTGGTTTATTTTCTCTCACTTTGAGGGTCTTTTATAAAGCCATTCAAGCACTTTATGGCATAAACTGTAATAAATTTTCTACAGCACAGAGAGCTAGCAACAAAATGTAGGTTACAGAAAAGCCGAGAGCAAAATAACAAAATGCACGGAAGCAAAAAGCCTACTTATTTTTTGAAGTTCATGGCTCTTTACCACACCTCAAATACCTTAATATACCTTATACTCTATATATGTTCTTTATATTTTAAGTACTTATGAAGTAGCAATAAAGAACATTATCTAGATGTTTAAGTGATATTTTGAAATAATTATAGGAAATATCCAACTGCTCTTTAACAGTTTAATTAAAGAACAGTGAATGATGAAATGGATATCATGACAAATCCACAACAGTCTTACCATGTGAGTGCTGGTTGTCATTAGCTGAGGATAGGAAGAGAAGCAAGTAGCAAAAAGAAAAAAAAAAAAGCACACAAATAAAATAGACCAAAATATCAATGGGTAAAGCAAATAAAATGCAAAAGTTCTTAAAATTTGCATTCATGTGACTGCAAAGCCAGTAGAGATATTTTAAGCTGCCATACGTAAAAAAACCCACTTAAAATATTAAAAGCTGTTATATTTAAGCTCTTTTATGATAATTCATAACTACTCTACCAAGAGTCTTTTGATATGTTAATCAGATATTCATCAGATGCATGTTAAGCATGAAACAGAAAAGTTATTATGTAAATTCTGAAGGAATATTTGGGATTTACAACACATATTTCTCCTAAGTTGTAGCTAGTCCTATGACTCTGTTTACCAACACACAGAATTCCTATTGCATAGTTCAAATTTTGCTAAACAGATAACCCATCTAACTCACCATAACTCATAAAAAAGTTACCACCTCTGCTGGAAATCTTGAAGAAAACAATTAAAACTATGTTCATAGCACACTTGACATTAAAAAAATTACCTTTGATTGCCTGATCAAATCCAACACTAACCTGTCCATTGCTGGTCACTATTGTGTTGTCAAACAAGAAATAGGCACCAAAGAAAAATACCACAGCATCAAACACTCCTAGGAATGTCCAATAAATAAACGCACGCCAGCGCAGCAAAGCATTCTTGGCAACATCTCTGTGTAAAACAAGATACATGTATTCACTATCAGCATGTTCAAAAAGATTAGACAAATGAAGCCACTCATATGGTTTGTTTTGAAGGAAAAACAATTAAGAGATTACGTGCAAAACCACCACATTTCTGCACAACAACTGTCTACCACTTCACATCCAAATCCTTCCTGAACATCTCCTCTTTACTTTTTAAAATTTGTCACTAAACCCTTCTAACTGCTGCCTGTAGTTCTGCTTATTTAAACTGTATGGTACATTCTCCTGTGCTGCACCTATTTACTTTCAATCTTTTTACAGAAGGTATCTTTTTTCCAGTATTCGCTGTGCATCTGATCCACTGTATATTTTAAATGGAAACACTAGAGGTCTCTGGAGACTTTGCTTTATTTCCCACGGGGTACCTTCACACAGACTATTGTAACAAAACAAAATAACAATTTTATGTGGAACATGCAGAACAAGGAATTTGCATTTGAATTGAAGTTTCAGGTCAAACTGGATTTTTCTGAATGTTTTCCCACAAAGAATACAGGGATCGGTCAACAATAGAACTGTTCACTAGCGTGCATTTTCTTACTACAGAAAAATTTAAATATTACAACTTTAGTTCTTGCATACAAAAAGAGTATGTATCAACTTGTCATTTACTGTAAAACCCATCACAATAAATCAGAACACAATTAAATAAAAATCTTGAATTACAGAAACATTTATGACCAACCAATGCTTTCACTATATGCACTTTTAAACTGTCTGTTGATGATATGAAGTAATTTTTCCCTGCAGATTAGCAATATTTAGTGCAAAACCATTTGTGGCTAACAGTAGCCTCATATGGAATAGAATGACGGCACTATTGCCAGAAACAGCTTAGCATTACATTCTGCTAGATAAGAAAAACCAAATATGTTTGACCAAATTACCTCTGTTAGTTTTCAAAAAACAAAAAGGTGTTCTAAATGACCATTTCTAAACCAAAAACATTTAAAATATCAAAGAGAAAATAAAAACAGGGAGGGTTGTGTTTCAACAGTAATATCTTGTATACCTCTTCACAGGTAAAAACATTATCACTGCATTGATTAATCTTTGTCCATCTAATATCACCTCTTTCCAGAATCTACTGGTACCACTCTCTAAAATGCACTGGGCTTGCAGCTACAAGAATCAAAACTGAAGAAATATATATCTCTTTTTAAAATACTTCTGTTCCCCACAGTTAGAGGAAATAGAGAACACTAAAATAAATCATATTTTGATTTGTAGAACAGTAATTTCTATTTTGCCCTTGCTCACTAACGTAGCAAATGAACGATGTGTATTGCAGCATGTAAATATACATGTAAATATACATGTAAAAATACACGTGTATCTATTGTAGTTTATAGATTGTGCATTTGGTCTTCAGCACTTCTGTTGCAGTGTATCTCATGTTCTACTCCATCCTTGTACAGAAGTCCTGAGGACTTTGGTTGTAACAGAGGCAGATTCCACAACTAAACAGTCAAACTTCGGGGCATAAATGTATTAATTTTACCTGTATAAGGAAGGCTCTCTCTTCAGTGTGTCTGCACTGACGTGTTGTTCCATTAGACCGAACAAGAGGATAGGAAGGGAAGTGAAGCTGATATTGTACAGTGTTAGATACGCAGTATCGTATAAAGTCTGCAGATGGAAAATAATTAAATTAGCTAGTTTTAATTTTAAAACATGATCCACTGTATGACACATGATTTAAAATGAATGAATCAGCTTCCTTAGAAAAAAAAACAAACCTACTTCCCATAATAGAGGCAAATATCCCTGAACAACTGCTAGCTGATATAAGACACAACTCTGCACTTGTACCCCATTCATCTGGAGGACAAAGGCTCAACTAAAAGATTGATTTAATAGTCTGATCCACATATCTGCTCTCCTATCATTTCAATTGCAAGACCAACTCCAAACTACCCAAACTGAACAACAGCCAATTCCTGTAGAGGTAGAAATTCCCCTCTGGCACATCCACTCCCCCTTTTATCTCCTCCATGTCTATCTAACACAGAGACATGCAGGGAAGAAGGGGGAGTACTCCAGAGGTTGTTCAGCTGTGGGTGACTGCAATGAGCTGTACAAAGAAATACCCTAACATGTCTTCAATTCTTCTTCCCGCTCAACTGTTTCCATGTATGTATCATCATTGTAACTAACCCTCAAATTTACCACATCATCCCATAAAAACAGTTATTTCCTCCAAACCTATTTGGTGATCATTTATGCTGTAAAAATTGCTGTCAAACCCCCCTGTTAGGTTCAGAATTATATTTAACACTTAAAAGAACAGGAAATTAAGTTTTCATCAACAGATGCTTTCATATCTAAATCTTAATAATGCTTGATAAAAACCTACAAAGTTTTCAGCTGTCACATGATATTAGAATCAAAACAGACAAAAAAAAATACTGCTGTTTGTCTGAAGTTTGGAATTCATACCTGTACATGTCAGAGAAGACTAATTTATTCTTCCATTTTCACTCTGAATTCTAAAAATGAACAACTAGTTCAATTACTTGTCTTTCAGGATTGCATCTGTCCATGTTCAATAAGCACAAACCTAAGAGATTCCACATTTCCCACAGACATTTCCCTTTGCACTGCCCTTTGCAAATTTTGGGTTCCTGTATTCTTTGACTTGGAAAATAACATTGCTTTCACGATAGTTCATAAAATTAATTTCTGTAACTTAACTGCACTTGCCACTGAAAACCATATGAACCAAAAGTGATGCTTTACTTTTTTACCATTTGTAAACTAACCTAGAAATTTTCTCAAGCTGAACAGGCACAGTGTTAAAGGATACATTTTTTTTTTTAAACGGCAAAGAATAAATGTCGCATTGAGGGAAAAAGAACAACCAACCTGTTGTGAAAACCCACAGAAGAACTGATACAAAAACTGAGGAAAAATGAAGCAGACATTCTGAAAGACAAAGTAACACGGTCGTCAAGTGAAATATAATCACTAATTTCTATGCTGTACAATTCTATAGCTATGTATATCATAGTTTCATAACATTAGTAATGGTAAGCACACTGCAGGAAAAGTAAAAAGAGCTGCATATATTAAACACCAACATTCTCCTCTTAAAGAAGTACTGTTAAGAAAAGTACTTAAAATGTTTCAAAAGCAAACTTACAAGGCTACAGTTTCAAAATTCAAGGGCAATTAATTTTGTGATCCAGGAGCACAGTTCAGTTAAGGCAAGGCAAATAAGGAACAATCCACACTAGGACACCAAGTGTGATAAGCAAGCACAGATACTCTGGTTAGCATGGTTCCCAGCAAAATATTTTTAAGATGTTTCTAGCTGTGACCACAAACTTCATCCTCTCCCAACTACACATACAGTCAAACACTAAGACCTTGACCCATCTTCTGAAGGCTCCTTTCTATAATCTGTCACTGCTTACTGAAAGAACTTTGATCAGATCCCACCATTTAGACATAAAAAAAACCTGTCCAAACACAGGGATACACATTATAAACTTTCTCCACCTACACTATCCCAATGAATTTAGAAACTGATGTAAATTAAGTTACGCTAAGTTCTCAAATGCTATTTCCATCTTGATTTAAAAGGTCCCTTTAGAAAGAATCCAGAAGGTACTGAAAATAAGTAGAACAGTCAGTGTTGGAGTTTGTAAGAGAGAAAAAAAAAAGACAAGGCAAATTTTGCTTTTAAACAAACCATAGATTACAGAATATATCTATATAAAAGCTATTTCACTTCATGGTCTGGATAAGAACAACAATCCTATTTCAGCTTTGCATCTGGCACTCAACAAAATCTCTTTATGAAATTACTGCTTTTATGTACCATTGACTGCACAAACTGTACATAGTTAGATATTACCGTGTAAGTTTTTGAGATTTATGTAATTAGAATAAGTATTCTCCTACCTTATAAAAGAAGTATTGCACAAGTTCAGATATCCTAACATAATAAAAATGCCCATGAACAAGCAACATTTTTTTCAAATGTTTAAATTTAGGTATTGCATAGTCACTGTTTCTTGCTGCTTGACGACCTTCTTTGCCAATGATTCCTTTAAAAAAAGTGATGAAGATGTTAAATAACTGAAGAACTATTTCAAAGACACAATTATTTGAAAAAATATATAAAGATGCTATGACATTGATCTAATAAGAGACCACCACTGTACCTCCTAAAATTCCTGGGCTAAATTCACTTAATGTTTTCTATAAAATGCACAGCCTGATTCTTTGAAACCGCCTATTTTTCAGTAAAAGATATTTTCTGTCATTCCATTTGAATTAATATTCTAAAAAGCACACTTACCTATACCAACATGTGCTTCTAGAATCATACTGACATCATTTGCTCCATCACCAATTGCTAATGTGATAGGATGCTCCTTTGATAACTTAATCAATTTTACAATCTGGAAAAAAATTGTGTTAAAATTCTCTGTAATGGTTTGCTTATTTTGCATGAGCATACAATTAATTAAAAATGACCAGAGTTATATAAGAAATTCTGTGAAGGGGGACAAAAGCAATATTACCCAGTATAACTACTACACAAAGATCACAGTAGTTTCTTAGCATTAAAAGTATTTGCTCCAAACATAACATTTTTCAAATCCTTCCAAACTATTTGAGATGGTCAGGAAGAAGGAAGAGCAGAAGAATGGAAGATGTTGTTTAAATTGCTTAATACTGTGTAAGTTGTGTTAATAAATTAAAGGTTTTCATACAGTTTCAAAGAAATCCTGAACCTAAAGACTGATTCTACTTTCTTAACTATCCTGAAATGTGTTCCTACTATATAAGAAAAAAGAATGGGACTCTGTATATATCTAAACACTGTTGACACATGAACTATCCAAAAATATCACTCTACAGTAATAATGTATGTTCTTCTAGTATCAACAGATAGTAGGCTATTCAAAGCTTCTGAAGTTAAAAAGGAAGAAATTAGTTCAGCTCATTAAATGTTATCAGCATGTACCAACCATAAAATTTGCACAATATGTACATAAATCAAATTCAGGTGCACAGCCTGGTGCCATTTTAGCACACCATTATCTAAATTGCTTGCCAGTAGACATTTTTCCCCCCCCCCCCCCCTTTTTTTTTTGCTTTAGAAGATGCGAAAGTGAATAGTAACATTTTAAGTACAGAATATTAACTTTCAATATTTACATAAGCATGCAGCTAACAATTATGAAATGAAATACAAACCTGTGCTTTTTGCAGAGGTGCCATTCGACAGCACAACACTGCACTGCAGTTCCTGCAAATTTCAAGAAAGAGCTCTCTGTAGTTACCAGAGCTCCCATCTTGTCTTGGTTTCATTATTAATGATAATGCTGCTCCATCAATAATTAAACCATAATCTTGCATATCAGTTGAAAGTCTGTTCAGAGATAAAATATAAACTAAAGTCACTGTAAAATTCTCATACATATTTTAATTTGACAAGAGTTCTTTTGTGAAAATTAATGAATGAAAAAATAATGAGTATGGAATACTGCAAAATTAATATACTTTAAACAAAATTCCTTGTATAGGAATGCTATTTATGACATTTTAAAATTCTAGATTGTGTTTAAAATATTCAGTCCTTCACCAGTTCAAAGACAGAAATCTGATAGCTCAATGACTTCACCAGTGAGCATGAGTGTATAATTAATGACCTTTCAGTTTTGGTTTGAAAGGGCTCCAGGAACTGCAGTGAGGTAAACTGAGCTGTGGGAATAAAGTTAATTTTGTGGCACATTTCATAATCTGGAGAAAGGCCATTGGTACACTGACATCAACTTTGACGAGGAAAACCACCTTTTTTTTTCCAAGGGTCTACATTTAAGGAAGTAAACCATGCTTTGAAGGAAATTCCTACAGGACACTTGTTGCTCTGGAGAGATAAGGAGAGATACATTTACAGTATGTATACTTTACATTTAGTGTGAGTCCAATACAGGTATATGTGTAATTATAATATTAAAATACCATAACTATACTTGTTATCTATAATATTACAATATAGTATTATATATATTAATCTATTACTGGTATACTTGTAGTAATTTGTGCATTGCTAGAAGTGTAATTGTGGTCGCATGAAGCACAGTTTACCACAATAACACATGCTGAACAATGGGGGAAGATGGCCCGCACTACAAGAGCAGCTTTCTATAGCACCCAGACTAATTAGTTCAGAGCATCCTTGCAGTTGCCTGCATTACACAGCAGCCTCAGGCTCCAGCTCAGCAGTGAGTGTTGTATAAACACATACATTAAGTTTTATTTGTGCTCCAGTTTCAGTTCTCCAAGGTTATACTACTGTGCGTGGGTTTTCAACAAACATGGTTTCACCAGGACCAATGTTGGTGAGGAAAACACCATATTTATTAATGTTAATCTATTTTAAGCATCTCCATCTTCACTACCAGAACACAAGCTATTTTTGACAAATAATATAAAGTACTGTAAGCTATATGTAATAACAGTGCACAGATATTTTCAGCACTTTGTTACCATTGGCACAAACAGGCCAACCACATTAGTATACAGTGATAACAGCCAAAAATGTATTATTATGAAGTTCAGGCAATGTACTGAATGTTTGACGCATTATAGTGAAAGATTTTCAGCCTAAATTTGAACACCTAGGCAGACTCCCTGTATCACTATCATAGCATTCTCCAACTCTGAAGCCAAAGACAAAATATTCTGATTAATCTTAATGTATACAAAATCATCATGGCACAAAAAGTTAAGCAAACATGTTTAAACATACCTTGTAAGATCTGTGGGACTTAAGCTAAATGTGGTACAGATGACCGAGAAATATGTTTTAATTGCATACACAAATGTTCTTGATTAAACCAGTGGGGTTTAAAGTGTAAGGAGAGCGAAGAAAAATGCTCTGACCCAGAGTTTCGATCTCTAAGGCTAAGTGTTATAGAAACTCTCTGCTAAAATACTGTCACAAATGCTTGTTAGCTTATTGCTCCTTTACCACAAATTTATTTCAAATGCATATAAAATGTACTTGCTAGCTGGCTCCATATAAAATAGAAAAACAAATCAAATGTGCACCATTATGTCCATAAAACCAATAACTGCATTTCTTAACATGTTAAGATGATAAAAATGTTTTAGAATCCAATTCTTAGGTTTTTACAGAGGAAAAAAAGAGCAAGTAATGTGTACCAGCTACGAAGCTTCAGATAAGTAGCCTAATTTACTACCTGTATAAGGCATAATTTACACTATACCTTTTTTTTTTTTTGCCTTTTAAAGCCATTTTCTATCTTATTCCATGTTATGTTTCACTTCTGTATACATGATAACTATCCTTCTATGGTTATTAAAAATATCATAGAATATAGAATGTCACAGAATATAATAGAATCACAGAATGGCCTGGGTTGAAAAGGACCTTAAAGATCGTCTAGTTTCACCACCCCTGCGGGGGGCGGGGTTGCCAACCACTAGAGCAGCCTGCCCAGGGCCCCATCCAGCCTGGCCTTGAATGCCTCCAGGGATGGGGCATCCACAGCTTCTCTGGGCAACCTGTTCCAGTGCCTCACCACCCTCTGAGGGAAAAACTTCCTCCTAATATCCAACCTAAATCTCCCCTCTCTCAGTTTAAAACCATTCCCCCTCGTTATGTCACTATCAACCCCTGTAAATAGTCACTCCCTCTCCTGTTCATAGGCTCCCTTCAAGTACTGGAAGGCTGCAGTGAGGTCTCCCTGGAGCCTTCTCTTCTCCAAGCTAAACAAGCCTTTTCTTCATAGGAGAGGTGCTCCTGCCCTCTGATCATCTTAGTGGCCCTCCTCTGGAGTCATTCCAAGAGCTCCACATCCTTCCTGTGCTGGGGGCCCCAGGCCTGGACACAGTACTCCAGATGGGGTCCCACATGAGCAGAGAAGAGGACCTCCCTCTCCCTGCTGGCCACCTCTTTTTTAATGCAGCCCAAAACACAGTTGGCTTTGTGGGCTGCAAGGACACACTGCTGGCTCATATCCAGCTTCTCATCCACCAGGACCCCCAAGTCCTTCTACGCAGGGCTGCTCTCAAGCAGTTCTTCTCCCAGTCTATACAAGTACCTGCAACTGCCCCAGTCCAAGTGCAACACCTTGCACTTGGCCTTGTTGAACTTCATTAGGTTTTTATGGGCCTACTTCTCCAGCCTGTCCAGGTCCCTCTGGACGGCATCCCTTCCCTCTGTTCTAGCAACTGCACCACTCAGCTGGGCGTTGTCTTCAAATTTAGGGCTTTTTTTAAATTGAGGGCACTTTAAGCATTTTCATGCACACCAGAATATTTGGTACTATGCTGTTGCCTGTCACCTGTCTATAAATATAGCATAATCTTCCATAGAAAGAGGGCCATACATTGTTGTTCTCTGTGGCCTTGGTCTTCTCAAGAAAGTCACATCACTTACTGATTACAGGAATATAACATATCTGCTTCCCTTTTTAAAGTTAGAAACAGTATTATGGTTTGCAATCTTTTTCCCAAAAATAAATATTTTTGCAGTTGACAAATACATAATTACAATGTCAGTTGTGATTTTTCTTTTAGCAGTTAAAGCACTGCCAGAAATGAGAAAGAACCACAACTGTGAAAATTTAAACCTGTGTGGAAGAAACTTAATTGCCATACGATAATTCACATTTTAACAACAGAAAATGAAATCTAGCATGTTGCTGCTCTTAAGGTAATCAATTAATCATTTAATTGTTTATGAAATGCAAAGAAGCCCATTCCTGGCTTGAAAATTCAACTTTTTCCTTACCCTGAGAAAGTATCCCTGGTTAAGCTGCCATTGTGTCTTAGGACGGTTTTGCTTAGGTCAAAAAGCACATCATGTAAACTCTGTTCCTCAATTTTCTTTGTGGTTAGCTCAAGTATTTGTGTATTTCTCCGGAAGAGTTTGCAAGCATAGCAAGTAGCTGCAGCAGTCTCCATTTTGTCCCCCGTTAGAACCCAAACTTTAATTCCAGCTTTCTGGAGTGCTTCAATAGTGTCAGCAGCTTTTTCTTGTAGCCTGTAGAAGTCAGTTAACAACATACATGGATAGAGATTGCTTGGAAATTCAGAAGTCCTTACTGAAAGGTTTCCATAACCAAATAAAAAATTTCAACAAAAGTTATCAGATCTAAGAATTTTCCCCAAGGTGTGTATCTAAAAATGTTTAGTGGAGTAGTACATTAAAATCATTAGTTTTGACCCTTCCAAAGTGCTCAAAGTTTCACCTTTCGTTTATATAGCCCAAAAGACAAGATGCTTCATTCCCCAGACAAGTACTTCAATTAAACCATCTTCAGTGCTTTCAGCTAATGACATCAAACAGTGAAGTACTGCTGAGTTATTAAAGTTACCTCCCAGTATTAATAGAGTTTTTGAATTTTTTAAAGACCCAAAAATGCTTCCTTCATTTTTTCAATACCCATTTTGTAGTTCTTGCCTCCAAAACTTTTCCCT